GGCTCAAGCGAGTCTCCTGCCTCTGCCTCCCAAGTAGCTGGGACCACAGGCGCCCGCCACAACGCCCGGCTATTTTTTAGTTGCAGCCGTCATTGTTGTTTGGCGGGTCCGGGCTGGGGATTTGAACCCACCACCTTAGTTGTACGTGGCTGGCGCCTTAGCCGGTTGAGCTATAGGCGCCTAGCCACCACCAAAGATCTTGTTATTAACAGTGTTTAGGAGTGAAGCAATTCTTTTTAGAAAACAATATATGCTGAACTTCGGAGGGGGTCATAATCCATAATTCTATTACCCAACCTTAAACTGTTATTATCTGAGCCAAATAATACATATTAGTGTGCATTTGGAAATAACTAAAATCCCCAAAAAGAAAAACATAAGTCTTCTGTATCCTACCAATAGAAGGCAATGACAGTTTATACTCTACTTAGTCCTCAGAAAGCAAGTTTTGTTATTTTTTCTTATAACAGTAAAGTACTCGACTGCATTTTGTTACCCTCATTCTTTTTCTTTTTCTTTTTTTTTTTTTTTGTAGAGACAGAGCCTCACTTTATCGCCCTTGGTAGAGTGCCCTGGCGTCACACAGCTCACAGCAACCTCCAAACTCCTGGGCTGAGGCAGTTCTCTTGCCTCAGCCTCCCAAGTAGCTGGGACTATAGACGCCAGCCACAATGCCCTGCTATTTTTGTTGCAATTTGGTGGGTTTGAACCTGCCACCCTCTGTATATGGGGCCACGCCCTGCCCGTTATTTTTCTTCATGAAGAACATTGAGAATGTCAGATATATCTTGTCCATAACCAATTTCATGTCTTCATAGTGATATTTTATAAGACAAATATACCATAATTTATATTACCTGTTTATTTTTCCATAATAGCAATGTCAGTTTATGTCTTTGTATTGCTTTGTAAAATACTGTGTGTGAACTTACATCAATGGCTAAAATATCTGGGAGTCTGATTTTCAGTCACATCCCTAATTATTTCTTTAGAATAAATTAGTAGAAACAAAACGTCGAAGGGATTGTACATTTAAGGCTTTTGGATACTTATCCACTTACCCATCAGAAAGCTTTTCTTTTGCTGCACTATATTTGTTGTGCTTTTTCTTTTTATTATTCCCCTACTCCTGATTTTCTGATTTTTCTTTATCTTAGATCCTGAACTTTTCTCCTGAATGTCAATTTGTTAAAGTATAATTATTATAATCTTTAAGTTACACACACATTTAAATAAATAATGAGAATTTTTCTTGGACCTCGAGAATGATTTTTTAAAACTAATTTTTTTCACTTTAGAATAGTTAAGTATTTTATATATGTTAAATGTTTTGCTACGTGGGAGTGACATTTAGGGGGACTGAGAACAACTTGTTTTTGTATTACTGTTAGTCGAGTTTACCTAGTTTGTGTTTCTGTGTAGTGATCTCTACAATTTCCCATCTTGTGTGCATTCGTTCCCTTGGTGCTTTTCTAGCCTCATAGGAATCTTTACATGCATCTCACCATACTCCCTGTGCAGCTGTTTGGCTCTTCCCCACTTTGAGATTTTTAATTTTTTTTTTTCTTTTGAGGCAGGGTCTTGCTCAGGCTAGAGTGCTATGGCACCATCCTGTCTCACAAAGTCCTGGGCCCAAGCAGCTGTAAGCCACGGTGCCTGGCCAATCCAGTTTGAGATTTTTATTCCCAGAAGGCAGCAACTGCTTTAATCATGGCTGTTTTCTGAGATAGGTGCTCTGTAAATAATTCTTACCTATCTTTATGCACATTTGTATACAAAATATGTGAATAAGCCAACTCATGGTTTTTTTGGGGGGGGGGGTTGAGACATAGTCTCACTTTGTCACCCTTGGTAAAGTGCCGTGGTGTCATAGCTCACAGCAGCCTCAAACTCCTGGGCTCAAGTGATCCTCCTGCTTCAGCTTCTCAAGCAGATGGGACTACAGGCACCCGCCACAATGCCCGGCTATTTTTTTTAGAGGACAGTAATATTTTATACAACTCTAGCTCAAGAGCAAGGGAAGGAGGAACTGCTCATCCCTAGTGCTCTCAGTGAGAAACAGAGCTTGCATGGATAGCTATCCTCACCTACATTGTACTCTGTGGTTTGTGGATGAGGAGTCAGGTCTTCTCCGTAGTAGACTTTCCCAAAGACACATAATGCAGATAAAGAACTTAGGCTGTTGGTATTTTTGAATTCTAGTTTCTTGGGTTTTTTTGGAGATAGAGTCTCACTTTGTCGCCTTGCGGAGAGTGTGTTATGGCTCACAGCAACCTCAAACTCTTGGGCTTAAGGGATTCTCTTGCCTCAGCCTCCCAAGTAGCTGTGACTACAGGCTCCTACCACAATGCCCACCTAATTTTTTAGAGACAAGGTCTCACTCTGGCTCAGGCGAGTCTCGAATCTGTGAGCTCAGGCAATGTACCCAGCTCGGCCTCCAAGAGTGCTGGGATTATAGATAGGAGCCACCACCCCCAGCCAACAGTAATTCTTCACTAAAAATTAATGATGTTCCCAAAAGTGTCTTTATCAGCAAATTTAGTATTTCAAGTACTCAATACTGAATTGATTTGTAATTGCTAATAAAATACAGGAATTAAGAGAACCATAAAGAATGTATATGCTGTTTTCCCAAGACTTTTTATTCCTTAATTCTTTTTAAAGATTTTATGATACCTTAGTGAAAGATGACTGTTCATTAATATTGAGAGTTACTAGACCATCTATTAGGTATAAACGAATGAAATTGTGATAGAATTGTATTTATATAAGCTATTTCAATGAGCCCAAAGAAATAATTGGCAAATTCATAATTTTTTTTTGACATAAAGCTATATTGAAAGAAAAATATGTTTGTTTGATCACAGGTTCAAATGAAGGTTTATAATTTCCCAATGTGGTTTTTTAAAACTGAAATCTCAAAATTAGGCCATCTCTGTGGATTTGTTTACCCTTTTTGTGTGGATTACATTTTAAGGACTTAATATGTTTATTACAGAACAATATGAACATGTTTATGATTTTTTTAACCCTCTACAAAGTTGACATAGATCTTATCAGTTAGAGTGTTCAGAAGCAAACTAAATTTTCTTTGCTTTTTTTAATTGTTCCTCCCCCTCCCTTTTTAGGGCAGTCTGTATTCTGAATGAGCTGTAACTTACTCAAAATTAAAAGAAGACTTTGTGTTCCAGAATGAGATGGATTTTATGGGAAAATGAGGCAAGGTGTCCCAGTTTAAAAGGCCTGGCTCTACAATCTGTTTTGAAATTCTATTTCTGGTATGTAATTTTACTGAAGCACCTTTAAGTAAGCAGTTGGTCTTAGGGTCTTTGTGTGTGTTTGTGTGTCCTTGGAAAAATGATAGCATTTGTCCAGTTATGCAGTTATTTCTGTAAACATCGGTGTATGTTGAGAAGAACTGATTCCTATGATAAATGTAGCTGCTTTCCTAAAGATAGTTATTTTTTGGAAAGTTACATAATTTATCTATAACCAAAGCAGACTTTGCAATCTCTGTGTGATCTTTTGCCCTATTAGATTTTAGTTCTGATTTTATGGCCAGATGGAGTCATAGATAATGGTTTTCTTTCACATATAATTCAAACTAGAATGACAGCATATTTGGGGAATTGAATTCTGGCAGGTATGGATTACCAAATAGCTTTCCTTTACAAAGGTCTGTGCTCAAGGAACTTACTGTCAGGAAAAGGGAGAATGTAATAAACATGTAGAAAGTTAAAAGTATTAATAGTAATTTCAAAAGAAAAGCAATTTAGATAACTTTAATAGTGGCTCACTAATAAATTTGTCAAATTTCTGTATATAATCAGATCTAGTAATTTTTTTTGAAAAGATAAAAATTGCTTTAGAAAGCAGAGCAGAAAGAAATTTATATAATGGTTACTAAAGGTTTTCAAGGATAGTGAAATATAATCTATAAAATTAGAAGAAAGGGCACTCTAAATAGATGGAAGGCTAAGTGCAAGAATATAAAAGAAGTCTATGTCTAAGGGAGGTTAAAGTAGTTCAGAAAGGATGACTGGCTAAAGATTTTGGGAAAATTGTGTGAGGCCAACTTGCAGTGTTGCTGGGGTTAGCTGCACATCAGAGTCTTAGGGGGTATTTGCTCTCTCTGCAGGTTTCTAGAGGGTCTTGAAAGCTGGGTTTGAGCAGAAATTCAATGTTATTTTTGCTTCATCTTAATTTCGTGTTTTGTTTTTGGGGTTTTTTTTAGAGACAGAGTCTCACTTTGTCACCCTTGGTAGAGTACTGTGGCGTCACAGCTCACAGCAACTTCCAGCTCTTGGGCAGGTGATTCTCTTGTCTCAGCTTACCAAGTAGCTGGGACTACAGGCTGCAGGTGCCCGCCAGAACGCCCAGCTATTTTTTGTTGCAATTTGGCCGGGACTGGGTTCAAACCCACCAACCTCAGTATATGAGGCCAGTGCCCTACCCACTGAGCCACAGGTGCCGTCCGTTTAGTCTTTTTTTTTTTTTTTTTTTC